CCAGGCGCGACGCCTCGCCTGCGATGTGCTCGAAGATGTTGACAAACGAATTCACGATGCCAGGGTCAGGGTGGACCTGCCTCAGCACTTTGTGAATGTGATTCGAGGAGCTTTCCTTGCAGCATCTTTTCCATTTCTGCCTTAGTCACAGCTTCCTTGAAGCCTTTTTTGGGAAAAGCGGTATCCTTTGAAAACCACAGTTGTAGACTGACAGCTTCTAGCCTCCAATCTTCATAAGAAAAAAGTTGGGAGCTTTAGAAAGGGCGGGACACCGCACTGACCATCGAGCAGCCTGTATGTAACTGGTATTGCCTGAGGCGTTATGTAAATGAGGTGCTTTTAGTAAGACTTTCTGATTGGATAGGCGACCACCAGCCAATCAGACGGCAACTCACATCCCACCGTCTGACTATAAACAGTCCCAGCAACGTCCTTCCAGGGAGGTGTTTTTTCGCTGCTACCCGTCCCAACCGATGATGCCTGGGCGCGGAGAGCAGAGCGGCAAAGCGCGTGCTGAGGCCAAGTCTGGCGCTTCTAGAGCCGGCTTGCAGTTCCCGGTGGGTCGGATCCATCGTCTTCTCCGCCAGGGCAACTATGCAGAGCACATCGGGGCAGGCGCTCCTGTGTACCTGGCTGCGGTGCTGGAGTATTTGACCGCTGAGATTCTGGAGTTAGCCGGCAGCGCATCCCGCGACAACAAAAAAACGCGCATCAGCCCGCGCCACCTGCAGCTGGCCATCCGCAATGACGAAGAGCTCAACAAGCTGCTGGGCAAAGTCACCATCGCGCGGGGCGGCGTCCTCCCAAATATTAAGGCTGTGCTGCTGCCCAAGAAGACGAGCGTCATCAAAGGCCAAGGTGAGTAGATACTGCAGGTGGTGAATCCCAGTGAATGATTCGGCCTGGGCGTGTGGAAAGTGAAATAAAACAAAAGCTCTTTTCAGAGCCATTCAGTTAACTGTGAAGGCTGTCATGGATGATAGAGATGTAAATTGTTCTCCAACAATGGACTGTTAAGTATATATACAAACTAAAATCTTCCTAAAATCACAGTACTCAAACTCAAGCTTTTGAGTTTTTCAGAGCTGCCCTCATTGGCTCAATAGCATCACTAGAGGCAAAAGTTAAAATGGACCCTAAGGTACCATTGGGTGGATCGGCTTGTGCGAGGTTTAGTCAACATATGCTGGAGTCCTTAGATTCCAATTTCAATTACTCTAGCATTAAGATCACATTCTTGAGTCAGGGCGAACAGGGAATCCTATTTTAAGGCCTGTATTTAAATGAGTTAAAGACCATGCTTAATTTATGATGGATTAAAACGACGTAATTTTTAAAGTTCCAGTTTAACTGGTGGTGATCCCAGAGCACATTAGCCGATCTGGCAAGGCTATGTGGTTTTTCCAAAGGACTTTCTGAAAAGGAATTTCCTAGTATGGTTCATAGTGAAGTCTTTAGATGTCAGTAAGAAAGCAAGTTAATGTTAAAATGTAGTGGAAGGGCATATATGAATATTGCTTGATTAATGGAAGATAAAGTTGATTCTCAAAATTGATTTAAAAAATACATTTCAAAGCTAGTACTGTGTGTAATAAAGAGATACTACTGTCAGTTTCATAGGCAGGAATTTGACAAGGTGTCAATTTGTAACAATTTTAGATTTTTCAAAACTTGAACTACAGAAGGTTTCATTTGATCTGACTGCACTGTATAAAGAGAAATTGGAAAGGAACGTTTGGTTATACTGACAAATATAAATTTACAATGTTCAATTACTTTACTCAAATAATCTCATTGGTTATCTAAAAATACAAAAGTCATTGCTAAATACTTGAGATCTGCACACAAGACGTGTGAAGGTACGAAGAAAAGTATAAAGTTCTGTAAAGTTTAAAGATGAGAATGAACTACAAAATATGTCAGTTGGGGGCAATCAAGTTATGGAGGAGTCAATCATATCTTGAATGAATGCGTAAATACCAATTAAGGCATGCAAATGGGGAGGGCATGAAAGGAAAATTTTTGAAAACTAAAAAGGCAATCCCCAAGTATATTGAATAAATTAGATAATGTTTGTGAAACTAAGTAGGTACTCCTTATTCTTGGTAAAGCCCCTTAGACTTCTCATTAACAAAGAGAATCCCAAGGCCCTCCATTATGCCCCATAGTGTGGGAATTAAACTAGGTGGAGATTAAGGAAAACAGAAGGTTGCAAACAAGATAAAGCGAACTAAACAGACATAGGAGTCTTAGCTCCTCCTCACGGCCATAAGTAAACTCGACTTATATATCCTTAAAATGTTTTGTAGGAACTTAGACCAGCACTAGATGAGCCACCAGCTGACCACAGATGCTGGGTGGAGCCAGGGGGATGATGACTAAGATTCCCGAGGTAATGGCGTATCTCACGACTGACTGACCAGAAGAATGGGCACAAGCTGATCACATACCCTGCAAACCCTTATAATTTTGCCTTAAAAAATACTTGTTTGTAAGCTAATGGGGTGCTCGGGACCTTAATCATTAGCTACCTACCTGTTCTTGCTTGGTGCCCTGCAATAAATGTCTTATTTTTCTCATTACACCCCAGTGTCAGTGTTTGACTTGCTGCAGCTTGGGCCAGCAGATCCAGGTTTCTTTGGTTCAGTAACATTTAGAACATGGCAATTAAAACTTTTTTAATGAAATCTTAAAATCAGAATAACAGTGATATAAATAAATGACCAAATAAATGAGGGATATGTGAAAAATCTAAGGAGATTAATTCCAAATAATTTATATAGATGCTCCCCCACCAAGCAGGTAGAGCTTAACTCCCCAGACTTGCCAAGCAAAGGGTGTGGAAAATCAGGGAAGAAAGGGAGTAACCACAGTAAAGAAACCTGACAGCTACCTCGGCCAGATGATGAATGTTATCATCAGTGGTAAGCCACATTGGCAGCATGTGTCATAGTGTGACGTTAAGAAAGGCATCTCACTTCTCTGATCTTCGAACAACCCATAATCCCAGTCTAACCATGAGAAAAACATCAGACAAGCCTTGTTGAGGAGTATTATGCAAAATGTCTTACTATGAGTCCTCAAAATTACCAAGGTAATCAAAAACAAGGAGAAACTCACAACCAAGAGGCAGCTAAGGAGACGTTAAGAGTAAATGTTGTGTATTTTAGATTGGCTCCTGGAACAGGAAAAGAACATCAGATGAAATCTAATGAAATCCAAAGTTTTGGGTTCAGTTCACAGTACTGTACCAATGTGACTTCCTTAATTGTGACAAATGCACATATATTGACAATAGAAAAACCAGGTGAGGGGTATTCGGTACCTATCTTTATAATTTTTCTGTAAATCTAAAGTTATTCCAAGTTAGATGTTTATTGAAATAAATAAACACAAATTTTGGGGAGAAAAATCCAGGAAGAGTCCCAAATCAAAAAACATTAAATTTCAGTAGATTACAGCTCTTAACCTGAAAGTATACGTAGCTTTGAAAAGAGCTTCTGGCTTTGTTCTTAGCATCCTTTTAAAAAACTCACTTGTAGCTGGTGTACTCAGTGACAGGACACAGTACCCTGCACACACTTGCTTAGCCCAGGCACCAGGAGGCAGTAAGCTCTGGAATTCCTTGTAGATGACAGTCAAGATCTTTCGCAATGAGCCAGGTAAGTGGACTCACCCTTGAGGTGCTCAAAAGTCACTGACAAACGAGTTCATCATTCATGTAGCTTCTGTAGAGATTCCAGTGTTGGGGTGAACTTGATTCAAGATTTATTTCTGGACCTTAAGCATAAGTGCTATTGTAGAGCACATCTGTGATGTCGCTGGTACTTCGTGTCTGTCTGCTAAGTTTGATGGCAACTTCTGGAGCCTTCCTTTGACACAACAACAAACTTGAAGACTTGGTAAAAGGAGACACAGCTTCCCACCATCTTAAAGAAAGAGAATAGCAGGTTCTGAAGCCATGGGGCTTATTTATACAATGTGTATTCAAATGAGGTATTAGGTAAACTCAATTTGGTTTGAATATAAACAATAGGCAAATGAATGTAAGATTCCTCAGATCAACTCTGATTGGACACTAGTCTTTGCTGGCTGGCGTCAACCATGCAGAAAGCAGGAGACTATCACATAGAACTTGGATCAAGAACTCTTTGAAGAGAGTTCACCCCCAACTGCTTAATTTTGTAGATTTCAGACTCAGCCTTTGAGAGAGACAATTTCCTTAACCTAAGTCCAATTCCCAGAGGATGGGAGCTGTCCCAGTTGGAGTCATCTGTCCATTCTCTGCCCATCTGCAGTAGTGGGAGGGAGGAAAATGATCATGGAAAACACTGCGTCTTGTGGGGACACATTAATGCGTTAGGATTGCTTTCCGTGCTTACCTGTTTAAGAAACCCTGTCCTGTGATCAAAAGTGATTCTAGTCCAGCATCTGAGTAAGTGAAGGTGATACTTTGCCAACAGAATTTTTAGTCCATTCAAATTTCCGTTTACAATTAGTAAGATGGGGCATCATTTCATGGATTTTGTTAAACTATTTTTTTAACCTTTTCTCCCGCTGTTTAATGTGGCTACTGCTTTAGGAATTTGACCTGGTTGTACTTGCCATCCATCCAGGCCAGGGGAGGCAGCCTCGTCAAGCAAAAGGAGATGGACTGGGTGCCTGCAGGATGTGCCAGAACAGGACCCTCACCTTCTCCCCTCTTTCAGTGCCAAGTGTTCCATTTTCAGGTATACTTCCTTTCAACATGTCTGGCTTGCAGCAGGACAACAGGTTCCCTCACCCAGGGGTGCAGAGTCATTCTGGTGATCCTGATGGGACACCCCACTGAAAATTCCAGTAGATAATGCCTTTCCCAGGTGTGGGTAAAATTCTAACATTTATGGAATATCTCGCCTGTCTTTAGTGCATTTGCATATCGTCATGGCTGGAGAGAGGTTCATCTCTGTGTCAACAGGTAATTGCCTGGGCAGCTGCGGGCTGAATGTGGGAGGTAAAGGGGAGGGGCTGGCTTGCTTGCTTCTTCCAGAGCAGGGGAGAGAGAGACAGCACCGGACTGCAGTTTGTAAGCAATAAACGGGTTTTAAACTTTATTTCTCCCTTTGACTAATATCAGTTTTTATAGGTATTTTATCCTGGGATTTTCTCTTCCTGGACTTAAATCTGGCGGCAGTTGGCAGGGTGCCTCTGAACCCAAAATCTGTCATAATGGGTGCTACCTTTGGGAGGGCGGCTCCTGTGGATGGTGGGGAGGCCCCAGTGGGTGCAGCAGCAGAGGTGCCACTTCACCTGTTACTATCCCACCAGCTGTGGGGCTTTGGGGCTTCCAAGTTGGGAACCCCTAGTGGGGAATTGGTCTAGGGTAAAGTACTTCTTGGAGGGGTGCAGCCTTTCACAGAATGGGGGAAGGGTGGAAACACCGGAAGCTGCAGAATTAGTTCTCTGTGAATTGGAAGACTGCTTGGAACCCTAGGGGGACGTGCAGCAGCTGGCATTGTAGGGTCTTTCATCATCAAGATAGTAAAATGTTATACAAGAGAAAAAGGATTATCAAGAGGGTGAGCAGGGAGAGAGAGGGACTTAAGCGGGAGAGACACACCTCAGCATTGCTTGTAGCAGCTGTGCAATAACCCATGGGAAGCTGTTAAAGAAGAGAGACAGTTATTGAAAAGGTAGGTCACGCTCCTAGAGATTCCTTAGCAGTGAGGGAGACACTGCAAAAGCCACTTTGCAGGAGGCCATGGGGGAGGGGGAGGAAGGAGTGTTGCCTTCAGCCCTGGAAATGGTGGAGGAGGAGCCGTTGGGGGAGGGGTCCGAGGGAGAAGAGGAGGCGGGGCCAGGGCGGATCTGCCCCCCAGGCCACCGCCTCCGGAGGCGCCATCTTCTCCTGTTTTAAAGGCCCGCCCAGCTGTAATTAAGAAAATAAAAATGAAACAACTGCAGGCTCCTCAGGGGGAGGAGCAGCCCCTCCCCAGATTGGGGAGCAGTCCATGCTCCACCCCTACACCCAGGATGAGCTGGTGGACATGAGTGTCCAGAATAGACAGACCATCGGAATCTCTGCCTACATGGTTTACGTCTCTGGGATATGGGGGTGGAAAACATTGTTGTGTCAGGTACTGAGATGAGTAGACTGGCTTCCCTGACAACGCACCCTTCAGCAACGTCCTCCTCTCTACTAGCCCCTTAAGTGGAGAACTCCAAATCTTACTGGCCAGTGACGTCTGCCAGTGGAAAGGCGGACCTTGCTTTGGGCCATTGGTAACCAAGGGTCCTTATCAGGAGGGAAAAGCCCCTATACCTGAAGATGCTTGGCACACAGACGGCTCTACTTGTGGGCAGCCCCTGAAGTGGAGGGCTGTGGCTTTCCATTCTAAGACTGAGACAATATGGATGGACTGGAGAGGGGAAGAGCAGCCAATGGGCTGAGTTGTGGGCAATGTGACTCATGATCACCTGAGCCCTCCCCCATAGTTGTCTGCACTGACAGCTGGGCCGCCTATCAAGGCTTGACCCTGTGGCTACTGACATGGTATCATGGCTACTGGATGGTGGGTCACCAGCCCCTTTGGGGGCAAGAGTTGTGGCAAGACCTATGGGTCTCTGGTCAGACTAAGACTGTTACCGTATATCATGTGACTGGCCATTTGCCTTTGGCATCCCCAGGCAATGATGAAGCAGACACATTGGCCCTGGTGCACTGGCTGGAAGGAAAGTCTGCCTCTGACGTGGCCCAATGGCTACACCAGTGTTTGTTGCACATGGGGCAAAAGACAATGTGGGCTGTAGCCAGTTGGTGGGGGTTGCCATTGACCTTTGAAGAAGTCATCAGAGCCCAGGAGTCCCTTCTGTGCTCTAAAGAGGGACTTACACTGAGTCCCACAGCAACATGGGACCATAGTAAGGGGGCCAATACCCCTTGCCAGGTGACAAATAGACTATATTGGGCCTCTGCTTATATCAGAAAGATATTCATATGCCATGACTTGTGTGGACATGGCTACTGGACTATTGATTGCTTTTCCTGCACGTCATGCAGATCAGCAAACCACCAAGAGGGGCCTGGAGTGTCTCCTTGCAGCCTATGGCCGGCCGCAGGTGACTGAGAACGATCAAGGCAACCACTTTACTGGACATGCATTACAAGAATGGGTGCAGCAATTAGGTATAAAGTGGAAATTTTAAGTACCATATAATTCTCCTGGGGCAGGCATGATAGAGAAGTACAACAGTTTGTTGAAATCTGGCCTAAAGCTGGACATCAATAGTCTATAGGGTTGGTCAGTTCTATGGACGGTGCTGTGGCGTTTGGATGAGAAGCCCCGTGAAGGAGCTCCGAGCCCCGTGGATGTGCTCACATACCTTGCCGCTTCCACTATACAACTGTGCGTCCAAACCAAAGAGGAGCTATTGAAGCCAGGATATGGCCGGCAGAGCAACACCCTGCTGCCCGCCCTACTGCATTAAGCCCTGGAGACACTGCTGAATGGACATGGCCCTGGACATTTCAACACATGGACCAGCAATGGCCGGCCCTTCTGGTACCTTGGGGGAAAGGCCTGTAAGCTGACCTCGTGTTTAT